CATTATGGTCCACACGTGTGCAGGAAGGGCACCCACTGCTGCCAGTGCCTGATGTCCCCCCACCTCTGCCCGGAGCCCTGGCAGCCTGGGGCGGGCAGACGAGCAGTGAGCTGAGATTTCCTTTGGCGGGGCTGGGAGAAAGGGGCTTTCCTTATCCCTCAATGTACGTCTGTATCCAGGATGTGTCCTCAGCTGAAATGCCCAAGCCGCTACACCAACTATTTTCCACTCAGAAAGAAATAGTTATGCATTGGATGTGGCATACAGAAATAAGGCTGTACCAGGTTTTCCAGCCTGTCTCTCCAGGAGTGAGACCCCAGCCCAGAGCTGGTTTCCATGCTGTTGGGACTGACCCTTCTGCCTCCCCATTCCCCCATCTCATCAACTCCAACATGAAGAATCTGAGGCAGTCTGAGCTCAGCCAAACCCTGGCAAAAGGGTTAAATCTCAGGATTTAAATGCATAAAAAATAATGTTTTCATTGTGGTATGAATCATCAGTAATTCTATTTCATTGTAATCTGTTTTTTGTAACTTTTCATCACTGAATCCTTTTGTCACCTTCCTTTCTTTCTCTTTCTTGCTTTCTTCTTTCTTTCTCTCTCTTTCGCTTTCTCTCTCTTGTTCTCTCTTCCTTCCTTCCTTCCTTCCTTCCTTCCTTCCTTTTCTTTCTCCCTCTCCCGCTATCTTTCCTTTCTTTTTTCCTTCTGTTTCTTGTGAATCTGTGTCTCTAAAATCTGTCCAAATATTTACAAAAGGAAATGCTGGGTTGTGAAACTGTATTCGGAGAAAATGTTACACATGCCGAAGAAATGCATCCAGCGTGGTTTCCAAATGTTCCCACGTGCATTTTTGTTCTCTGTCTCAAGTGTTCAGGCTTGATCCCTCAATATCTTTATTCAGGCAAAACTTGCACCAAGGGCAACAAGACCCAGGCTCAGGTCAGGTCCAATGGTGCTGTAATCCTGGCTTTGCTGGAACGGTTCAGGACTGATTTTGGCCACGTGTGACTAGTTAAAAAGCCTGAATAACCAGTGTTACTGGGTAACCGGCTGGTTTGTGCAATGGGCCAGTTCCAGGCCAGGGGTTATCTACACTTGTCGCCAAGTTGCTAACAAATTGGCATCGGTGTCAGTCAATGCCGAAGCTGTCTGCAGCCCTCTATTACCCTCCGGGATAAACATCAACCCCATTGCACCGGGAGACCTGCAGCCTTTGGAGAAAGCCAGCCAGGCCTCCAGTCCCACTGAGGCAAAGGCAACACGCTCAGCTGTGACATGATGAAATTGCCATGAAGTCATTTTCCCAAGAAGTCACCAATGCCTTGAGTGAGGGCTCACACTCATGGGGCTCTCGTCCTCACCGACTCGTACATATTTTGGCAGAGCAACATGTGAACTGTTAAAGCCCAGGGGACAAAGGGGGCCGAATGCCGGCAGTGGGTCCCATCTGCTCACATCAAAGCATCACCTCCCACCCCCACACTTCATGCTCTTGTTTCTATTATTACCCTCACAATGACATTGTGGCCCGAGAGCAAACACGGATTGTTTGGGAAGAAGGGGTTAATTTTGTATTTCCTGGCTTTTGTTAAGGCAGGAAATCTAGCCCTTAGGAAAGTCATTCAGCTCCTAAAAGCCACTTCAGCCCTCTTTTGTATTTTCCTTTCTTTCATTCTTATGGCAGGTTTATTTAAGAAAAGAAAACAAAAATTGAGTAAAGTGAGGAAATAGCTAGTCCAGGATTGTAAGTGATTAAGTACACACTGCCACATGTGATGAATTTTTTTCTTCCTGATTTGCACTGGGTGTAAACAAGACCAGATTCAGAAGTCTCATAATTACATAAGTCCATCGAAGGGCAATTATCATTGTTGTGGAGGTAAATTCCCTTTGCGCAAAGGCCTCAGCTGGGTGTCTGCCCTGCACTCTCTCAGAGCAGCCGCGAGATCTGGCCCACAGTGTCTGGCCCGTATTTAATATTTGTGTGATGTTGCTTAACATCACGCCTGGAAAGGTGGCTGTCATTGGGAGCACATTCTCATTTAGCTGGTGATTTCTTTAAGCTTGGGAAAAATTGAAGTTGCCAAACTGGGGGAAAAAAAAATCTCAGTCTTTTTAGCTTTGTTTTCTGTGTGGGACACTGAGAAGAGTTTGGGACAACAAAAGAAAAGACTGTGAGCGGCATGGGGATGCCTGCGTCTGTGAGCCAGGGCTGGCTGTTCCCACTAACAAGGCACCAGTGGCACAGCACCATTAAAAATCCTGCTTTCCATTTGAGTGTTCAAGTGAAGCCTCTCAAGCCATGCTCCTGCTCCTGGAATGCACAAGGCTTTGGGCTGGTTGGAGGAGTGCAACATCCCGATCAAATGCCCTGGGAGAAGGATGTGCCCAGCTCCTAACCCTGCAGGGCTTCTCCGCTTCAGGCTGAGCAGAGTCCTTGCCTCTCCCGTGCTCCTGCCTGGTGGTGCCATCACACTCCAAAGGAGTAAAGTGAAGTGGTTCCTGGGTATAAACTTAGAGGAAGGCCAGCATCTGAGGTCCATATCAAAAGGATGAAATTTTCTCTAGGAAAAGGTGATGAATAAAGTCCCGTCCTGTGGCCATCTGCTATTCTCCGCTTCAGGCTGAGCAGAGTCCTTGCCTCTCCCGTGCTCCTGCCTGGTGGTGCCATCACACTCCAAAGGAGTAAAGTGAAGTGGTTCCTGGGTATAAACTTAGAGGAAGGCCAGCATCTGAGGTCCATATCAAAAGGATGAAATTTTCTCTAGGAAAAGGTGATGAATAAAGTCCCGTCCTGTGGCCATCTGCTATACTGGTTTCTGCTGCAAAAAGCTGGCAAGCAATCGATAATTGATAATTCCTGCT